TCTCATGTGCTCCTTCTCTCTCTCTCTCTCATTCTCTCTCTGTCAAATAATAAATAAAATCTTTAAAAAAAAAAAAAGTGTGATAGAGTATTATACTATATGAAAATACTACAGTTTATTTAATTATGCAGTCGTTCCCTCATTTATGCATTTGTTCTCCTGTTGATGGACATTTGGGCTGTTTCCAGTACTGGAATATTACCAATACTGCCAAACAATTTTCCAAAATGGTGGTACTAGTTTATACTCCTACTGGCAGTGTGTGAGAAGTCCATCCTTGCCAACACCTCGTCTTGTCAGTTTATACGATTTCAGTGACTCTGGTAGGTGGGTAGTGGTATCTCATGGTTTTATTATTTCCTGATGACTAAAAATGTAGAACATATTTTCATATGCATTTTGGCTATTCTTTTTTGTGAAGTGCCTGTCCAGGTTTTTGCCTATGTTTTTCTTACTGATTTGTAGGAGTTCTTTATATATTTTGGGTATATGACCTTTGTATCACAAATACTTTAATGCATGACTTGCCTTTTCACTTTTATAATAGCATCTTTTGATGAATAAAAGTTCTTTAATTTTACTAAAGCTTAATATATCATTTAAAAAATTGTTGGTGCTTTTGAATATTCTATATTAAACCTTGCCTGCCCAGAGTTACAAAGATATTTTCCTTTGTGCTCTTCTAGAAGCTGTATTGTTTTCTTCACATTTAGGTTCTGATGAATTGTTGTGAATGTTGTGAGGTAAAGTTTGAGGTTTATTTTTTCCCTTATGACTGTCCACTTAACCCAGCACCATTTGTTGAAATGTCCATTCTTTCCCCCACTGCACTTCTGTCATGAGCCAAGTAGTGGTGTGTGTTTGGGTCTGTGTCTGGATCCTCTGTTCTATTCCTTTGGGTCTGTTTGCTTATCCTTATGCCAGTATCTTGCTGTCCTGATTACTGTGGCTTTATGTCTTCATACTGGTTTTTTTTTTTAAATTTTTTAAAGATTTTATTTATTAGAGAGAGAGAGAACGAGCACAAGCAGGGGGAGCAGCAGAGGGAGAGGGAGAAGCAGGCTCCCCGCTGAACAGGGAGCCTGATGCAGTGCTCGATTCCAGGACCCTGGGATCATGACCTGAGCCCAAGGCAGACGTTCAACGACTGAGCCACCCAGGTGCCCCTTCATATTCTGTTGATGTAAATTCTCCAGCATTGGTCTCTTTTCCATTGTTGTCTTGGCTGTTGTTAGTTAGCTTTTTCCATATTTATCTAAATTTTAGAATAATCTTACTTCTTTTCAGGAAAAAAAAATACCCTGGCATTTTGATCAGGAATTTACAGATTAATTCAGGGAGGATGCATATTTATTTAAATTTCATTTATTTATTTTAAGATTTTATTAATTATTTGACAGAGAGAGAGACAGCGAGAGAGGGAACAAAAGCAGGGGGCAGTAGGGGAGGGAGAAGCAGACTCCCCACTGAGCAGGGAGCCCGATGCGGGGCTCGATCCCAGGACCCTGGGATCATGACCTGAGCCGAAGGCAGATGCTTAACGACTGAGCCACCCAGGTGCCCTTTATTTAAATTTTAGACTCATCACTTCTCAGGGAAAAAAATCCTAGGATTTTGATTTGGATTGCCTTGAATTTGAGGAGGATTTAGTTCTTTACAATATTGAGTCTCTGAATCCATGAACGTGATAATGTTCCATTTATTTAGTTCTTTATATTCTTTCAGTAATATTTTGTAGTTTTCTCTGTAGAGATCTTATTTATCTTTTCTTAGATTGGTCTCTAGATGTTTGTTGTTGTTGCAGTAGTTACTGTTATGCTTTTAAAATTTTATTTTCCAGGGGTGTCTGGGTGACTCGGTTAAATGTCTGACTCTTGCTTTCCGCTTAGGTCATGATCTTGGAGTCGTGGGTTTGGGTTCAGCACTCAGCGTGGTGTCTGCTGGGGATTATCTCCCTCCCCTTCTGCCCCTCCCCCTCTGCCCCTTCCCCAGCTTGTACTCTCTCTGAATGAATAAGTAAGTTTTGTTCTAAAGATTTTATTTATTTGACAGAGAGAGAGAACACAAGCAGGGGGGCAACAGACAGAAGGAGAAGCAGCCACCCCATCCCCCTGCTGAGCAGGGAGCTTGATGTGGGGCTCCGTCCCAGTACACTGGGATCATGACCTGAGCCAAAGGCAGACGCTTAACCAACTGAGTCACCCAGGCACCCCTAAATAAATAAGATCTTAAAAAAAATACTATTTTTTAATAGTTCATTGCTAGTAAATAAAAGTACAACAGATTTCTCTATTAATCTTGTATCCAGTAATTCAGATATTAATTCTAATAATTTATTTATAGATTCTTTTGGATTTATAATGTAATGTCATGTAGTTTTATTTTTTCAATTTCAGCTTTGATGTCTTGTTTGTTGAAATGCTGTGTACTCTTGAATACAGTGTTGAATAGAAATTATGAAGGCAGATAGCCTTGTAACACTGCCTAGTATAAGAGGAAGGCTTCTGCTGTTTCACCATTACATATGATGTTAGTTCCAGGTTTTTATAGATAGTCTTTTTTTTTTTTTTTAAAGATTTTATTTATTTATTTGACAGAGAGACACAGCGAGAGAGGGAACTCAAGCAGGGGGAGTGGGAGAGGGAGAAGCAGGCTTCCCGCCGAGCAGGGAGCCCGATGCGGGGCTGGATCCCAGGACTCTGGGATCATGACCTGAGCCGAAGGCAGACGCTTAACGACTCAGCCACCCAGGTGCCCCTATAGATAGTCTTTATCAGATTGAGGGTGTTCCTTTATATTCCTAATGTAAGTTTTTAATCATGAATGGGTGTTGATTAGCTGCTTTCTTTGATAGTCATTGAGATGATTAGATGATTTTTCTTCTTGATTTTATTAATGTTGAATTGATTGTTTTGGGGATAGGGTGTCTTTATTTTTTTTAATTGACATTTTTATTAAAAAAATTTTAGGAATTGATTTTTTTTTTTTTTTTTTTTTAAGTAAGCTCTACACCCATTGTGGGGCCTGAACTCTCGATCTGGAGATCAAGAGTTGCATGCTCTACTGACTGAACCATTCACGTGCCCCTGATTGTTCACTATTAAACTTCCATTCCTGAAGAAAACCAAGTTTGATTGCTGTGTATTATCCTTTTCATATATTAATGGATTTCATTTGGTAGTATTTATTTTGTTTATGATTTATTTAGTTTCATGAGAGAGATTAGCCAGTAATATTCCTTACCTGAAACTTTCATGTAAGGTTTTTGTATCAAGGTTATGCTGGCCTCAGAACAAGATGGGAAATCTCTCTCCTTTTATTCTTTGGGAGAATTTGTAATTGGCTTTGTTTCTTCCTTAAACATTCAGAAGAATTATTGGTGACATCCTCTGGAATGTGGGGGTTTTTTTTTGGTAGAGCAAGAGTATTGTGTTTTTCAAGAAATTTATCAATCTTTCTAAATGTTAAAATTTTATTAGCATCAAGTTATTCATAATTTGCTCTTAAATTTAAAAAATTTACATATTGTAAAATTGACTTTTTTGCATAGAGTTCTATGGATTTTAATACATGTACAAATTGATGTAATCACCTTTACAGTCAGGATACAGAATAGTTGCATCCTATGTAACCATACTTTTTTCCCTGGTAGCCACTGATCTGTTCTCCATCACTAGTTTTGTGTTTTTGAGATGTCCTATAAAATGGAATCATGCAGTATTATAATCTTTTGAGATTGCCTTCTTTTGCTCAACATAATGCTTTTGAGATTCATCCACATTTTTGTGTGTATCAGTAGTCATTCCTTTTTATTTCTGAAATATATCTGCTATATGGATATATTGCATGCAGTTTGTTTATCCACTTACTTGTTGAAGGGCATATGAGTTGTTGCTAGTTTTTGGCAATTATGAAGAAGCTGCTATAAACATTTGTGTAAACATTTTGGTGTGAACATGTTTAATTTCTCTAATGTAAATATATGTTTAATTTTATTAGAAACTGCCAAGCCATTTTTCTGCCTGGTTGTACTATTTTGCATTCACATTTCACATACATGAACAAGGTATGATAGTTCCAATTGGTCTGTATCTTTGCTGACACTTGGAATTGTCCATATTTGCTCTTTTAGCCATTCTAATATGTGTATAATGGCATCTAATGATGATTTTCGTTTGTAGTTCTCTGATGGCTGATTATGTTGAACATATTTTCATGTACTTATTTACTCGCTATCTTTGTATCTTGTTTGGTCAAATTTCTGTCCAAGTCTTTTGCTCATTTTCGGATTGAATTGTTTGTTTTCTTACTGTCAAATTTTGTGAGTTCTTTGTATATTCTGAATACAAGTCTTCTCTGAAACATGATTGTAAATGTTTTCTAGCTTCTCTTCAGTCTGGCTTTTCTCTTTTTATTCTCTTAAGAGATGAAAAGTAAAAGTTTAAAATTTTGATAAAGTTCCAGTTTATCGAGTTATTTATTTATATTTTTTCTTTTAAGTATCTCTATGTGGGGCTTGAATTCACGACTTGCTTGCTCCACCAACTGAGCCAGCCAGGCACCCCTAATTTTTTTTTTAAATGTATCCTGTTTTTGGTGTCCTGTCTAATAAGTCTTTGCCTCATCTACTTTTTCTCCTTTCTTTTTCCCTAAAAATTTTTATAGTTTTAATTTTTTATCATGATCCTTTTTGAATTAATTTTTGTATAAGATATGAGGTTCAAGATTCTTTTTTTTTGCATATAGATGTCCCTTTGTTTTATTTAAAAAAATTTTTTTTGAAGATTTTATTTATTAGAGAGCGCACACAAGATGGGGGAGGGTCAGAGGGAGAAGCAGACACTCTGCTGAGAGGGGAGCTCGATGTGGTGCTTGATCCTTGGACTCTGGGATCATGAGCTGAGCCGAAGGCAGATGCTTAACTGACTGAGCCACCCAGGTGCCCCAATGTCCCTTTGTTTTAATACCATTTGTTAAAAAGACTGCCCTTCCTTCATTGAACTGTCTTTCACTTTTGCCAAAAATCAGTTGGCCATATTTTTGTATATCTATTTCTGGACTCTGTTTCATTGATGTGGCTATCCCTTTGTAACTCCACATTGTCTTGATTAATGTAGCTTTTTAGTAAACCTTAAAAGTTGAATAGTGTGATTCTGCCAATTTTTTACTTTTTTCAAATGTTTTGGCTATTCCAATTCTGTTGCCTTTCCAAATAAATTTGAAAATCAATTTGTATTTATCTACAAAAGAATCCATGCTGAAAATTTGGTTGGAATTGAACTAAATCTGTAATTTGAGGAGAATTGACACCTTTACTATCTAGAGTCTTCCAATCCATGAACATGGTATATCTCTTCATTTATTTAGGTCTTCCTTGATTTCTTTCATCTGCATTTTTTCATTTTCAGCATATAGATCTTGTACATATTTTTATACTTGTATCAATATATATTTTTGGAGTATTTTAAATGGTATTGCTTTTTGAAATTCAGTTTCTAATTGTTTATTGCTAGGGATATGTTGATTTTTCTGTATTGAGCTTGTACTCTGTAACCTTGCATTTATTAGTTCTAGGAGTTTTTTGGTGGGTTTTCCGGGATTTTCTATGTAGACAATCATTGTTTATGAATAGAGGCAGTTTTAGCTCTTCCTTTTTAATTTGTATGCCTTTTATTTCTTTTTCTTGCCTAATTACACTAGATATGGCTTTCAATACAATGTTAACTAGGAGTGGTAACAGCAGGACATTCCTGCCTTGTTCCAGTCTTAGTTTTCCAATCTACGTGTGCATTTCACCATTAAGGATGTGTTGGCTTTAAAAAAAGGGGGGTTGTGTGTGTTAGCTGTAGGATGTTTTTTTAGATGTCCTTTATCACGTTGATGAGATTGCTTCTTATTTCTAGAATAGATGTTGAATTTTGTTGACTTTCTTACAGTCCTCTTACGGGTATTTATTTCATTTGAGTGAGTTTGCAATTTTTGAGGTATTGGTCCAGTAATATATAAACAGAATTAGACACTATGACCAGATGGGGCTTATTCTGAGAATGTAGTGCCAGTTCATTATATGAAAATCATATAACCTATCATATTAACAGTCTAAAAAAGAAAAACCTCATGATTATACTCATCAGTGAGAAACAACTTTTTTTATATCACTCTTCTTTCTTTTGGGAGTCTGGAAATAGCAAAGTTAGAACTTTTCATATTGGGCGCCTGGGTGGCTCAGTTGGTTAAGCAACTGCCTTCAGCTCAGGTCATGATCCTGGAGTCCCGGGATCGAGTCCC